TATTCACTAGGTTCATGAACCGTTTTGGATAAGAATGTATCTATTTATTATGATACTTAATATGGTGACTTTTGGAGTGATTTCTCACTCTATAAATAGGATTGTTCATTCACTATTGTATGATATACATATGAAATTTACATACACTTGAATAAGAAGGAAAATTCCCCTTCTTATATCTACTTCTCTTGTCTTCTTCTCTTTATGATTATATTCTTATGAGTTTGATTTTATAATACGTTATCAGCACGAGTCTCTATCTAATTGAGAGTGAGTTCTTGTTTTTCTTTAGCTCATATTTTGGTTGATCTCGTTGTGAAGATCAAAGTATTATATGCATAAAATCAGGTATGTATTTTCTAAAATATTTTATAATTTAGAATAAAATAGTATTCAGTCACTAACAATTATCAAGAACCGAAGACATATACTACTATTGATTGAATATGACATGCTATACAAAACTTCTTAAATGGAAGAAGGTATAACATTTTAATAGCATGAGTTTGGATATTATTTTGATTGTTTTGAAAGACTCAAAGAATAAATAATGTTGTACTTCGGTTTATTATACCGTTGGTTAAGGGTAAGAAAATAGATTCAAGTTTCATCGCACCAAAAGGTAAGACATCAGGTTAAAGTCCGGATGCACCATAATGAAAAATATTTGAGGATAAGACGATAGATTCAAGTTCTATCACACAAAAAGGGTAAGACATCAATTAGAGTTTTGATGCACCGTGGTTGGGTTCAAGTCCCATAGTATTATGGCGTAACACGCATTATATGGGTAAGACATTGAGTTTGAGTCAATACACCATAGCGATGGTAACATGACGACTAAGAAAAATAATATGTTTTTGATGAAATGTCTTGAAATTCATCATATTGAATTTGCTTCATTCCTTGAAAAGAATGTGGTAGCAACATGTGATAACTTTGAAATCTGCCTGTTGACTTGCTCCATTCAATCATATGAATGTGGTAGCAGTGAATGATAAGTCTGAAAGATGACAAATAATTAATGATATGAATAAGGGCGTGGAGGGACAGAATTATAATAGTCATCATTGTGGTAATGATAAAAGGAAGAACACTATGAGTTCTTCAAATAGTCCTTCAAAATGTGAAGGCAATTTTTATTATCAAAATGGTATGAAAGGTCATTAGACTTGTGAATGTTGTCAACCCAATAATTTGACAAGTTAAAAAATCCTCTATCATGATAAAAGAAGATAAAGTGATGGTACACTTGATCTTTCAAAGTGATGTTGAGGTGTGTCATGGAAATATGATGAATTTTAAAGCTATGAGAATGTGCTTATAATGCAAATTTATGAAGTACATATAATTAATTAGTTCATTCCTTGAAGAGAATGTGAGTTGTGATAAGTATCGTGAATACTCGACCATTCTATAAGAGAATGGGTCCAGATGTGATAAAATCATTATAGGTTGGATATATGGCACAACTCACCTTTATGGAAGGTTTGAGAAAAAAATGATACATGTCACTTCTCATCTTTACGGGAGATTTGGGAGGAAATAAATTTTATTTGGAAGAAATGGCTAATTGTATTGTACGTTTTATACGTCACTATGGTATATTTATTGTGAACTACCGAAAGGGCAAAAGAAAGAAATAGTTCTTGCCTATAAGGGTTGTGGTCATTATTGTGTGGCAATACAAATTTGTCATTGGTTGTGTACCTATGGTACAACAAAAGTAAAGCAAGAAAGACGTCATGCTCGTAACGATTTTGACCATGACAATAATAATATAATTTCCTCCTTAAAGGAGATGCTCACCACAGGGATGATGTCATGCAATATGTGATAGTACACAAAATTAATTGCAAGCTCTAACGAGTTGTGCTATTATCAGAGAAATAATATTGGGGTTTTAGTAAGTCTCAAAAGAAACTTTTTAAGTTTTTGGATGAATTAAAAATAAATATTGAGAGTATAAATCACTACAACCGAAGAGGGTTATAAATGTTTATGTAAAAGATCACCCCACTTTTCCTCTTGTTTGTTCCATACAAACATGTACATGCTGATGAAATCACATGTAAAAGTAAATTATAAGTGTACTAACATAAAGATCAGTTGGCATGACTGGTTGACCATTCCGATTAAATGTGATGCAAACATGATTGAGAATTCAGGTAATTTATATGATGAAGAAATAATGATTCTTCAAGAATTCTCTTGTGTTGCTTGTTCTCTTGATAAAATGATCATTGTACTAGCTAAGGTTGGGATTTTAATCCCCTAAAAATTTTGGAACATATACAAGGGTGAATATGGGTCTGTTCACCTGTCATGTAGATCATTTGCAACTATATGATAGATGCATCTATGCGATGGTCACATGTATTTTGTTGTCAACTTACAAATTAGTTTTTGTAAGGTTGTTTGCTCGAATTGTTAAAATTAAGAGCATAGTTCCAAACTATGAAATTATATTGATAATACTGGTTGATTTACCAGAAATTGTATGCCTCTATTTATAGATAAATCATGGTTATGAGAACAAAACTCCCAAATAAGATTTGGTATGAGATAATTTTATTTAACATGTAGCAACACATGTATGCATCAAACCAACAAGGTTTCCCCATTAAAATTGGTTCAGGGTCAGGAACCATATAATTTTCATCTAAAATGTTGAATGTGCGGTTATGGTTTTAATTTCTCAACCACGCACAAAGATGAACTTCCAAATAAGATTGGAATGAATGTTATATTTTCTACCATTAGGGGAAGAGATGATTGAAAACTGAAAATTATGTGTGAGGTTAATTACAAATTATCTATATCCTCGTTAAATAAATATATGAACTTAAAGTTCAAAGGATAATTCAGTTGCGTAATGTTGCAAATCAGTTCCCATATGAATGCACTGATCCTATTATATAATTCAGCTGCAAACGCTCCAGTGTGAAGTCCTTGAAGTATAGAGTCTATGATACGCCAGAAGTGTAATAGACCAATCGATTCCAAATATAAAATTCCTTGAATAAGGAAGGAGCAAATGATCAAGATGGTCATAATAATGAGGCAAGTGATATAAAAGAGCACATTGACAAAATACTTCATACAGTCTTGAAAAAGGTTCAGGTACCTGAAATAATGAAAAATGAAGAGATCTCGATAAGTTATGCCTTGTTGGAATCGATATCAAATAACCGTCGACAGTATCTTTCATATGAGGTAGCACTCAATGATATAAATTGTGACAAGGATCTTGAATTCAAATTTGTCATATAGTGTGAACAGATAAAAGGTTGGCCAAGTAAAATGCATGATTCAAGTATATTGTTTCACTTACAAAAGTGATGTTTTGGACATATAGTCCATAAATAAAGGTATAATGTCAGTGGGGTACAAATAATTTATTATGTGATAGTATAACCGTAAGATATCAAATACGATTTGTCCTTGGGCATAAAAGTTTATCGCAAAATTCTGACATTATTGGAGATGTTTTCTCCTTTGGTGGATGCACTGAGGTTTGTTTTGATCTGGAAACATATGAAAAACTTGAATGCATGTAATGAATAATTGTAATGCCTAGCTAGACAATGAAGGTTATATGAAAATCCTTGAAACAGTCAAGGTGTCTGAAGGATATAAGAGTTTGAAAGAAACTTTTTTAATAAAATTTCAAGAATCCTTATATAGATTGAAATAGTCAAGGAAGAAAAAGGGTACAAAAGAATGACCCTAATTGCCCTTGTATTTTTATGAAAAGGTTTTGGTAAGACAAAATTTTGTCTTGACCTACAGATTGATAATTTGACAAATAAAATATTTGTCTAACAATGCACATACACTGAAAAGTTTTGATGCAATTTTATATGAATAAACCGCATTCATTGAGTACCTCAATGATTATGAGATCACTTGACATAAATGATGCTTCAGTTTGATCTCAAAAGAAGGATGAAGAGTTTCTTGGTTATGAAACTTTATCTTGGTGCAATCAGGGCACTAGTGCATCTTATAACAATATTTGACCAGATACTTGTTTTGCTGTAAATTTACTGGCAAGATTCAATTTTTCCCCGATAAAAGGACATTGAAATGGTATTGAGCACATGATTGAATATCCTCGAAGGACCATAGTTATAGGTTTATTCTATTCCGAGGAATCTAAGACAAAATTGATTGGTTACGCAAATGTAGAATATTTATTTGATCCGCATAAAGCTCTATCTCAAGCACGCTATGTGTTTGCATGTGGAGGCACAATAATATCCCGGCGATCAATGAAGCAAATGTTGCTATGCAGAAATAAAAGTCTTCCATGAAGCAAGTCGAAAGTGCGTCTGATTGAGATAAATGACACACCATATTCAAGAAATGTGTGATTTTTCTTTGAAAAATAATATACCAACCACAATGTACGAAGATTGGAGACATCATCACAAGAAATTAAGTGATATATTAATCAGGGAAAGTATAATAAGCGTTGCACTTTTTTCCCTTGACCGAGGTTTTTTCCCACTGGGTTTTCCTGGCAAGGTTTTTAATGAGGCAACAAATAGTGCGTATCAAAATATATGTGTACTCTTTTTCCTTCACTAGAATTTTTTCCAACAGAGTTTTTTGTAGTGAGGTTTTAACGAGGCACATTATCTATGGACATCCAAGGGAGAGTGTTATAAATTTATTGAATGAGGGGATAGTCCATAAGGTTGTTACAATAACAATCATCAATATTCATTAGGTTCATGAACCGTTTTGGATAAGAATGTATCTATTTACTATGATACTGGTGATTATTGGAGTGATTTCTCACTCTATAAATAGGATTGTTCGTTCACTATTGTATGATATACATATGAAACTTACATACACTTGAATAAGAAGGAAAATTCCCCTTCTTCTGTCTACTTCTGTTGTCTTCTTCTCTTTATGATTATATTCTTATGAACTTGATTTTATAACATTCTCATATATAATAAATAAGTAAACCAAATCATCACCACAAATCAAATTGAAAAATATTAGTATATATTTATAATGGATTTAAACCAACCGATGAAAGAAAGGAACGATATTAATCAATTGGATGGGTCGCCTCTGTTCAACATTTGTTTGTACCTAAGAATAGAATGAAGCCTCTGTAACTTCAATTGTTGCCTAAACTTATTAATAAAATCATCAGCTTTCTTATCAACTGCTTCATCATCCCTCGCTGTTTCCCTCGTCGTTGCCGGTCGGCGCAAATCCACCTCCGGCATCTTCTTCTCACTTGCCGATTTCACCAATATCGTCCTCGTTTGTACTTTCTCCTCCGTGCACGTTGCAGATTTACTTCTTGTCACGTGACTCACTTCTATCTGCGGTTCAATTTCATCATCGTATAGGGGAATTTGGTCGGGTCGTGAGAAAGACAAGTTGATGGACTTGACCCGTTGTAGCAGAGACGAAGTAGGGTCGAGTTGTGAGTTATGGGAGGGAAATGGATCAGGAAAACAGAAATTAAAGGACTTGACTCGAGATGGAGTTGTTGTGGTGACGGTGTTTTTGTGAGTTTTGAGATTTGAAGTAATGAAAATAGTTCCAATCATTAGATTCAATAAACAGAAGAGAATAATGGGGGTTAACCAGCTAGCTAAGCATTCAATCATGCTTTCTACTTACTGAAGATGAAAGAGTTAGGAATGAAGACAAATTATGTTTGCAATTTGTATGAATGTTTCTATTCTATTTATTTATATTATAGATAGATAGATTTAGAGACAGAAAGCCAACGCTAGTTGGTAGCATTGTAATTGTAAAATATACAAAAACACGTTGTTTTTACCAAGGTGCGTAGATAGTCTCACACTGCTTCGATACTCCTCTAATTTTATATTAATTAAAGGACAATTTTCACATATAACAAACAAAAAAATCATATTTGTATAATATAACAAACTTTGCATAATTGCGCTCCATAACAAACATAAAAACTGTATAATTCGCTGGCCTAAATTGTATAATTTGCTGGCCTATTTCGCTGCAATTGTATAATTAGCTTTGCATACAGTTGAATCGAATTAAAATGTATGTATATTACATAATTATATGTGTATAGCAAGAAGATATATGTTTTTCTCGCTTTATACAAAAACAGAAACACAATATATACACTTCTGTTGTATAAAGCTAGAAAAAATTGTATTTTACTGCAATTATATAATTCACAATTGTATAATTCTTTGGCCTTTTTCTCTGCAATATTTGAAGTAAAATGTTTGTAAATTATATAATTAAGTGTATAACACGAAGATATATATTTTTGCATGTCTATATACAATTTTCTCTCGCTTTATACAAAACAGAAACAGAAATTATACACTTCTGTGTATAAAGCGAGAGAGGCGAGAATGAGAGAGTGGCGAGCGAGACTTCTGGGAGAGAGACGCCTCGCAAATTTTTGTCAACGTTTGCTATGGAGCACAATTAAATCAAACCCTAGGTATTCCATTTAATTTAGGTTATTAGTTTGCTATTTTATACAATTTTCTCTTAATTAAATTATTGAGTTATTTTTTATTTTTATATTAATTAGAATATTTTTTTAATTTTATCTATTATTAATTAATATTAAAATTAATTATTAACTAATATTTAATTATTTTATTATAAATTTAATAATAATCAATAAGAATACAAATAGAAAGTTATCTTTAATTTGTATATTAATCTTCTTTTTATAAAGGTTGAGCTCAAGCAATTTAATTAATATGAAATAAAGAAAATAATAAATATATAAATTTTTACTAAAAGAAAAAACTTGATGTTTTCTGTTTAGCAGCAACTTGAGTCCAGTTGCGAACCTGTGCACTCCTATCCTATTGTTGCTTCTATCACGATAGGGAATCGTGTGATTCTTTCTATCCCCGTACTTTCTCGCTCTTATGGAGTTGTATTCCCTAGGGTATGTTCTAGTATATTTTTTGTATAACAATTATTGCCATTGTATGTTCATTTATCTGTTAACACAATTTTCAAAATCCAGACGTAAATTCCGACCTTCCCCTAGCTTGAAGTCTGGAACAAAGTATTCCTAGGTTCATATTTATTCGTAAAATATTTTTCAAGTTAATTTTTTTAATTTTTTTTTTTGGATAAATTAAGAAAGAACAAAATAATTTTATTATATCTCTAATATTATATTTGAGTTAATATCTTTAAAATATATATTTATTATGTTTCTATTTATATGTCACTATTTTAGGTTTAAATGAACATAATGTAGTTTATTTTGATTAATAAATTGGTCAATGAACATAAAGATTATTTAATTTTTTTTGTATATGTTGATTAAATTCATACTTTGAAAGCTGATAACTATCAATGATAAAATAGAAAAAATATTATCATTTATATATTAATTTTATAAAATTAATAATATTAAAGAACATTTATTTTTAATAACAATACCATAAATAAAGACATAAAAAGAGTGTTATTGTCACGACCCAAAACGAGCCGCGAGTAGCACCCACACTTATCCTACTATGTGAGCGAACCAACAAATCTAAACCCCAACATTTCAACCATAATAAACAGAATATAATGCGGAAGACTCAAAATCTTATTAATATAACCAATAAACAAGCTTCTAAAGTTTATCAACTATTATCCCCAAAATCCGGAAGTCAAGCATAAGCCTCTGTGAGAACGACGAAGTCTGGGGATAACCTCCAAACTCAGAGAAATAATGACCGGTCTGCGGTGGACCCCCAGCTATAACCTGCAGTGAAGACTGAATTGGTCGGGCTGGGTAACCTCCTGAACTCTGCCCTCTGGAGTAAGAACCACTAAACTCACCTCCCTTACGAAACTTCTTAGATGTCGATGCCATGGTGAAGTCGTCTGGCTTCACCCCCTCCACTTCTATCACAAAATCTACCACCTCCTGGAAGGATTTTGCTGCAGCAGCTACCTGTAAGGCTGGAATCTGCAAATCTGACATCAATCCCTTCACAAAACAGCGAATCCGCTCTTGTGGACTGAAGTAAAGCTGGGTGGCATACCTGGATAATGCACGAAACTTAGCCTCATAAGCAGTAACCGACATCCTGCCTTGCTCTAGGCTCAGGAACTCATTTGGGAATAAGGTTCTTTAACTTGAGCATATTAACATAATTCCACATTCAACCTCTTATCATTATCGTGTCGGAACGTGACACCCAATCCCGTAATCTCATTATTTTAATTCATCAAGCCTCTTTTATGTCAATACGTCATCTTAATAGAGAGGATTTAAGGTTTAATATTCAACAGCCTCATCATTCTAATCCATCACAATTTCATAATCACATCATGCAACCACACAATTAAGCATATAGAAGACTTTACAATATCACCCAATACATATCAATCACTATTAAGAGTTTACTATGAACTAGCATAAATCATAACCTACCTCCACCGAAGAATCGTGATCAAGCAAGCTACTTCTTAATGCCTCTGCTTTCCTCTTCGCTTCTCCCTTTTTCTCGCTCGTTCTCCCTCTCTTTCTGTCTCTTTCTTTCTTCTTTTACCCTAATTATCATATAATTCAATATGATAAAAGTAACCCATTATTTATTTTAAGGTTATCTCCTTTAACCCCCAAGTAAATAAGTTATTAAACTTACCCACTAATTTCATACAGTTTGTCATAAGTAGTCCAAAACACCCCTTTAAAACTTTAGCAGAAATCCGACCCAGTCGAGGTTAAGCAGCTCGTGATGGCCCGTCGTACCTGCGACGGCCCGTCCTGCAGGTCCGTCACAAAGTTCAGAGAGTCAATTTTAGCGAAGATGTTTGTGATGGTCCATCGTGTCTACGACGGTCCGTGCTGCAATTCCATCGCGGAGTTCAGAGAGTTGATCTCAGTACCCAGATTTTAGAGTTTAAGTGTTTTGGCACGAACACGCTCCATGGACCGTTGTGCCTATGACGGTTCGTCCTACTTGTCGTCGAGGTTAATGAAGGAAAGCAACAGGAGAATTATACAAGTATGGGAGACGGAGTCCATGACGGTCCGTCGTGTGATTCGTCGACCCAATCAGTTTTTATCAAAAATAATTCTACTGCTCGAAACGACTAAACAGGTCGTTATAGTTATAAATCTATTGAATAACTGGATTGTCCATAAAGTTAGTACATGAACAATCATTGATATTCACTAGGTTACATGAACCTTTTTGGATAAGAATGTATCTATTTATTATGATACTTAATATGGTAACCTTTGGAGTGATTTCTCACTCTATAAATAGGGTTGTTCATTCACTATTGTAATATATACATATGAAACTTACATATACATGAATAAGAAGAAAGTCTTCTCCTACATCTACTTCTATTGTCTTCTTTTTATAATCTTGAATTTACAACACGTTATCAACACGAGTCTCTGCCAGTTCAAGTAAAGACTTTAAAAGCCTCGGAGGTATAAATTTCCTTTTCTTAAATAATGTCTAATATTTCTAAACTTGAATTTCTTGCTCTAGACATATCGGGAAAAAGCTACCTATCATGGGCACTCGATGCAGAAATTCATCTTGATGTGATGGGTCTAGCAGACACCATCCAAGAAAATAATCAAGCATCGAATCAAAACCGTGCTAAGGCGATGATATTTCTCCGTCATCACCTTGATAAGAGTTTGAAAATGGAATATCTCACTGTTAAGCATCCTCTGGTGTTGTGGAACAATTTAAAAAATAGATATGACCACCGGAAGTTGATCGTCGTTCCACAGACACGTTATGATTGGATCCACTTGAGACTTTAAAATTTTAAATCTATCAGTGAGTATAACTCTTCCATGTTTAAAATTATCTCACAATTAAAATAATGTGGAGAAAATATCACTGACCATGATATGCTGGAAAAAACGTTTTCCACTTTTCCTGCCTCGAGTATGCTTCTGCAGCAGCAATACCGAGAAATGGGATTTAAAAATTATTCTGAATTAATTTCACATCTCCTTGTTGCCGAACAACATAATGACTTACTGATGAAAAACCATGAAAGTCGACCTATTGGTTCTATGTCATTCCTGAAGTAAATACGGCAAATTTTCACCAATCTAGGCTTGAAAAAAGTCATCGCCCCAGTCGTGGTCGTGATCGTGGTGATCGTCTTGCACTAGATAATAACCTTCAACACCAGCAGTGTAAAAAGAAGAATGAAAAACATGACGTAGTGCAGAAGAAAAATTCAGACAACAAATGTTATCGATGTGGAGGAAAAGGACATTGGTCACGTACCTGTCATACGCCAAGGCATCTGGTTGAGCGATATCAAGCTTTCCTGAAGGAGGTGAAAAATAACGCAGAAGCCAACTTTATCATGGAAGATATTGTTTAACCCATGCATCTAGATGTAGCGGATTTCTTTGAGAATTTCGAAGGAAAGATAAATCAAGTGATAGGTGATGGGTCTGTGATAATGTGAATATATTTCATTTTCGTCGTTTATATGAACTAGTATGAATATGTTTTCCTAGATTTGTAAATAACTAAAATGTTGTGTATTGTTTTTGTTTAGTAATAATATTATAATGTTTATTTCTTTTATATCTTTCATCTAGAAGAGTATATGGATACCTCAATGATCAATCATGAAGATATTTGTATAATTGATAGTGGAACAACGCACACCATATTCAAAGATGAGAAATACTTCTCATACTTGCTTAGAAGAAAAGCAAATGTTACTACAATTTCTGGTAATTCAAATTTAATAGAAGGCTCCGGAAGAGCTACTATTTTTCTGCCTAAGGGGACAAAACTTGTCATAGAAGATGCTTTGTTCTCTTCTAAATCCCCAAGAAACCTATTAAGTTTTAAAG